TACTGAAAATAGTTATTTCCTTTCTTTTGTATAGGTTTCATGTTTTTGTTTTTGTTTTTTTGAGAGGGGGTGATGTGACAAGGATAAAAGTAATATCCATCCTGTTACTCTATCATGGATAGAGTAAGTGAAAATCCAGGTTAGTTTTTGAAAAAGAATTTTCTAGACATTTTTCTTTTTAGTTTATCAAGGTCCAAGCTAAAAAAAAAAAAAAAAAAAAAAAAAAAAAAAAAAAAAAAAAAAAACTTATATTGTGTGGTTTAAAAAAAAAAAAAAACCCTTCAGTTTATTACATGTGGGCTCACTTTCTGAGAGTCAGGGAATATAACACCAAGAAAGAAAATTAAGACAAAACAAGAATGACAGTGGAAAGGGAAGGAAGGAGAAGAAGCAGGACAAGCAGTGCAACCTGGGACCCCCAATGTTCTTTCTTGAAATTGTAGCCCAGAGAATGAGAGTTATGTTAGTGAAAAATGAGGGATATGCCCAGATAGGAAGCTATTTCTTATAAAGGCCTTTACCAACATCGTAGTGGACTTAGCAGTTCTGCCCAGTCAGTCCGAGGGAAGTCTTGGCTTTTAGATTCCGGTATGACCCAAGATAATGAAGCACTTGTGCAGACATTGAGGTGCTATCAGATGGGTAAAGATTCCAAACCAAGGGCTACAGTACTCCTAGGCTGAGTGTGCATCACAGACAGACCCCAGAAAAGGGTTACATTTTGAGCAGGAAAGCAAGATGAGGTGGAGTTAAACAGAGATGTCTATCCAGCCTTATCAGGTCAAGGAGAAGCACATGGGTTGCATACTAGTGATAAACTCCACCCTAATATCAGCAGGACTGTCAGCATCCAGATAGATAAGGAGCCCTAAGCCTCTCCCCTCCTGGCCGCCCCCGCCAGCAGAGAAAATAAACAAAATCATGTCTGGAGCCCCAGACTCTTTCTTCTGTTCCTAGATAATGGGATGGAGGGAATGTGAGAAGGTGAAATGGTACAAAGTGGAAAAGACCTTGATCATACATTCATTTAAAATCACATGCAATAGCAGTTGTGTCAATAAATCTTATTACTGTCATCTTATTTTTTCATGAACTGTTATAAGAAATTGATTTTCCTCATTCTGTTAATAGATACACATTTTATCCTAGCATGATACTAAGTGTATTTCCTTCCTCCACTTCAAATAGTTAATAATCTAATAAAATAATATTGTAAATTCTGGAAACCGTTTAACCACGGAAACACATACTCCAAATATGTCATATTTATGGGCCTGTACTTTTATTCAGTGGAGACATTAAATAACTACAATTTTAAATTGTGTTGTGAGAATGGGATTAAGAATTTTGTTAAATGCATTCCTAATTACTCTACCTCAGCACAACTGTTTTCTTTTTTCTGGTAACCAGACTAATGTTTCTTCACATATATATTTTGTAACTACTTACAATCAGAACATACAATTTTATATACTGCTTTCTTTAGAATTCTTCCTATTGTAACTGTATGTATTATTGTACTGACTACTTATAATTAGAACATGTAATTTTATATACCACTTTCTATATCACTCTCCCTGTTGCAACTTATTTATCACTGTAATAACAACTATGGAACTAATATACCAATATTTTCTTAGTCCCCCCACCCTGTTGGATTAACCAAGAGCTTCTACTATGTGCTATTGTGGCTAATGTTCAATGACCATTTCCCTAAGTATAGCTTTTTTAATTTTGAATTATATCCTTGGACTAATTCATGAGTAGGATTACTAGGCCCAAAAATATGAATCTATTTAAAGGACTTTTCATATAGCCATGGGTCAGACTGATGAGTCAACAAGGTGGACACCTTTATAATAGGTCCAGAAATATATGAATTTATCGGTTATTTTCCCAGTAATCTCATCTGCATTTATAGTTTTTTATTTGTAATTAGAGATTACAATCTGTGCCATTTTTTTAATTTGGATTTCTTTGTCATTAATTTTTTTATTAATTTACGTCGTGCTTCTTATTTGAGAATTAGTGTGGCTAACTTGAGAATTCACTTGAATATCGGATAAGCATAGATTCGTATCCCAACTCAGGCTATTTCTTGTATATTAAGTGAATTAACCTTTAAAAATAAATCTTCATTTAAAAACTACTAACAATGATATCAACTTCACAAGGTTGCTGAAATAACTGCATGAATTAATGCCTATTGGGTTCATGACACACAGGAAATTATTACTTCTTCCCTCTGTCTCTGCCTCCCTCACCTCATCTAAATACCTTCGCACCTCCAACTTCCTGTATAAATTATCCATTGGAGTTTACTTGACCCAAAGTTTCAAAGAACCAGCTTTCTGTAGAGTTTACATTCATCAAGGTCAAATGTCAAAGTTCGTAGAAAACCGATCTCTACCCTGTCATCAAGTGCTGAATTGTGTAACAAATCGCTGAGATCAGATCAGCTGAGCCCTGTGACTATCTAGGTGTTCATTCAAACTAATGCAAAATATACTCAAAATAATTATTTTCCCATTGATTACTCATGTTAGAATTCTGTGTATAGTCCACATTTTCTTTAAAATGCTTTAGCTAAGTTTCCTTTTGCTAGATTTCTCAGAGGTATTTTGATTTATTTGTTTGCCTCTTTGTTTTGGTTTCCAGTGATACTTAAACCTTCAATCTTTCAAATCCTACCCAAGAACAAATTTAGTTCTATGGTAACAAATGTAGTTTGTCAACCAATCAATTGTAAGACAAGATAATTGCCAGAATTGGCACATCTGGATGATACTGCCATTTGAATTTGCTCTGTCTTAAATCTAGTGTCTGTTTTCTAGGCATTATTGCTCATCTGTTGCCTGGAATTGGTTCTGTCTTGAGGGCCTTTGCATCTGGGGCTGCCTTTCTAAGCAATCACTCTTTATTAAGGCCAAAAGAATTCCTGATCTGTTATAAGGTATCCAAAATCCTGTAACAAGCATACAGTGTCACAATTAGAAAAGTAGGAAATATAAATGTCTATCCTCTTTCATGAAGGCCAGGCAATTTGGGGGGCTACCAAAAGATTTTCCAGTCTCTAACCTTCATCGTGAGAAATGAACTGAGTAAGACACACTCTAAGCAGTTTCACTTCAGGAATTTAAAAGAGAAAAGGAGAGAGAAGGGAGGGAGGGGGAAAAAATCCTCTCAATCCTTCCAGTCTCAGCAACTGTATTTCTCACCCTCTGGAGAATGCTATGGCTGCTTTAGACTTTTTATTTCTTACATAAGCCTTTCCTTTATGTCTCATAGTCAAGGTTATTTCATTTTATATTTCTAAACCTGCTTTTATCCCCATCTCCATGTCTGCTCTCCCAATATTCATGTTACAAATGAGCCTGGACTCCTTTTCTATCTGAATAGACGCAACAATTCTAACTTCTTTCTTACTTACATCAAAGCCCTTTATCCACTGACTGCACCATCAAAATTATTAAAGCACTGGCAAAATTTACCAGGTCTGAGAGAGGTGCCTGTGTAACAGTTAAGTCTGCAGAAGGAATAGGAGGGTCACAGCTGGACTGACATGCAATAAGCAGTTTTTCCAGTTTTGCTGGACAGTATATAGCACCTAGCCATGTCTGCACTACAGCAACACAAAGTCGTTATTAAAAATATCAGGACACTCAAGATGAAAACTGGTGGACTTCATCACCTCCTGGTCAACCCCCTGCTTGTCTTCCTGAAACTGAAGACAGAAAAGGTGCTCGGGAAACAGTGCCCCTGGGCCAGCACCTGCTCGGCAGCACCCATGGCCACACACTCCCCTGAAACAGGATGGTCAGTGAAACGGCCGGCCACACCACTTTCAGCTTTGTGCCACTCACATTTGCTCATGAGGCCTGGCATCACACCTCGCCTGCTGGCAGAGGGAAGCTAGGACTTGTCTGCAACAAGTCCTCAACCTCAGTTGCCCCTAACAGACATTAGAGGTCAGGGAACACTCTCCTAACTGGCAGAGAGACTGCGAGGCCAGAACGAGGACATGGGTGTACAGATTTTGGAAAAAGCTTTCAAGTTCTATACGATGATGGGTTGTGTGGGCCAGAAGAGGGGGTTTCTGTTTGTACAGTTAGGTTGATTTATGGTGATTGTAATCTCTAAAAGGCTGTTCTGTCATTTGATTTGTGTATGTTCTACTCTCACATTCTTATAGGCCCATTCAGGCAGCTTTTCAGAACATTCCATTCTCCCTCACAGTTTCCTAGATTTGAACAAGCTCTCTGCATATCCTCCCTCTCCACCCTAGCCCTTTGTCTGTCACTCTCCACAGCATTCAAGACTCAGCTTAAAAACCCTCTGCCTGGGGACACCACCATTGCACCCGGACAGGCAATTACTTAGTTCTCGGCACCCTGTAATAGAATGATCTGGATTTGTTTTTGCTGAGGGCAGGACCAAGTCTGCTCATGTTTTTAACCCAATACCTGTTTCAGGCAGTGGGCTCAGTCAGTAAATATTGACCAAAATTATGAGTATTGAATGCCAAATACGTGTTGCTATGAAATAGCAAATTCTCTTAGTAAGGTGAGTGATTCTTTGCTTGTTTGCCCTAAAACTTGGGAAGGAAGCTCAACACAGACCTTTCTATATACAACATAAATATGAGTCATGCATGTATCAAGTGGGGGTGCTTATAAAATACTCCCAATTATTAGAAGTTTCTGCCTAAGAACATTTGACTATATGAAGAACTGTATCAGTGTGAAGTATTTTATACTTACTCGTTTCCCCTGTAATTGCCATGGGTCACTCACTTAGCAGGATGCTAACAGGTGTTATACAATAGAAGGGTTTCTTTTTAAGGGTTTCTTGATGACGTACATGTGGAAAATGGATCAAACTCCAGTCAAGAAATCAGTCACTAAATTATCATCTCATAATTTAGTATCCCAGGCATTCTATTTAGTCTTCTACCTTGTTTTTAGATTTATTTACCCCTTCTTTATTTGTTTGATTTTCAGCTTTCTTGGTGACATGGCATCTGGCTTCTTTCCAGAAGAGAAGTTTAGCACACAGTTCAGTCCTTGATATTGGATTGCTTTGAGGATCCTACCTGGAATAGGTATGTAAACCTTCAAGATATGCTTCCGCATGTTTTAGGATAATCACTGTGGAGGTGCTTCTATCCTTGTCACTGTTGTTGTTTTACTGAGAATAGAATTTGTTCTGAGGAGCAAAATTCATGTGTCAGAAGTGATCTTTGTCTTCTCTACTTAGAAGTATGTGTGTATAGTATGACCTATGAGACTCCCGAAAAGGCCTTCATTTTCTTTGTAATGTAATGTGATAAATACAAATTAAGAATACATTCAGTCTAGCAGAAAGGAGAAAATTCTGTGCTCATATAGAAAATAATAAGGTTATTTGCAATTCTATGGAAATCAAGAATATGAAATATGATTTACCCCCGGAAATAACTGTAGTTCAGAATTCTAACAAAAGCATGTAAACATTTTCCCCCCAAATCAGTCCAGGTTTAGACAAAACTGAGTACTAAATTATGGACTTAAATGACTAGGTATGTGAATCAATGACTGATCCTTTGATCGCTAAGTTTTTGTGACAATTACTCCCTTGGTATATCATGACATAAAAACCAAAAATAGAGTAACTTGACAGCTTTTGGCTTAGTGAATTCTCTTAAAAGGAATATTCTGAAATTAGATTCTCATAAGATGTGAACCTTGTAGCTCCTGATTCAATCCAATTCAGACTACTGAGATGAGTTTGTGTGTGTGTGTGTGTGTGTGTGTGTGTAATTTTATCCCTAAAATAACTTATGAGAGTAATTGCTTTTTTGTGTTCAACTCTTTGAATACTATTAGGAATAAGGCATATGTGTTGAAAGGCTGGTACATATTTATAAAGGTGGCCCATCTATATAATTTATATTTTTAAAAGATAAATTCTAGATTCCTGCTATGAGTGAGACCATCCGGTATTTTTCTTTTTCTTTTTGGCTTATTTCGCTGAGCATGGAATCTAGAAAACTTAAATAAGGGACCAGAAAATTAATATAAGAAAGTGAAAATCAAAATCAACAAAAAACTATGAACCAGAGACACTTTTGGGGGGGTGGGGGGCGGGAGGGGAGGGATTGGAGTCAGAATGGGGCGTTTGCAATTGTATGGGGTAATATAAAAATAAAATTTATTATTTAAATTAAAAAAAACAGTAAAAAAAAAAAAAAGATAAATTCTATAAAAACTTTCTGGCACTAACTGTACTCCCCCAAAAATTGTTCTCAAAGCACATATGAGTAGTATAGACTTGAGACTTAATCAGGTATGAGAACTAACTTTAGTGCTTAACTCCAACCTCAGGTAAAAATTATTGTGCTTCCTTAAAAAAGAGTGTTATCACTTAATTTGGAAGGAAGAAGGGAATGGAGAAAGGCAGAAAGAGGGAGAGGGAAAGAGGAAAAAAATAAATTCACAATTGCAGTGCACCCAATATACTGGGTCACCTTTATGCCTAAACATATCAAGTAATTAATAGATGTGTTTCCAAGAGTCTCCAAAGAATTCCATCACTACATTCTGTGAGAGTCAGAAATCCTAATTGGAGTTTAACCTTCCTGACTTAAGGCAGAAGTTGCAACTAGTCACTAACTGTTAGATCTGTCTTGTATGACTTATTCTGTAGCTTTTTTGGCTTACACAAAATTGTTATGCTGTGTTTTTAAAAAATTAGCAAATAAAAAAATCAGTGAAAATCACGTAAAAATCTAGGTTCTCAGTCTTCTATTTATACCACAAATATTAAACTAAAGACACATCTCAGTGCTGTTCTGGGCTTGATTCCAGACCACTGTAATAAAATGAATATTGCAATGAAAGGTGTCACCTGAATTTTGGGGTTTCCCAATGTATATAAAAAATATGTTTACATTATGCTGTAGTCTATTAAGTATGCAAATAGCATTATGTGAGAAATATATACTTACCTTAAGTTAAAAAATTTTTGTTGCTAAAGAATGCTAACTATCATCTATCATCAGAGTCTTTAGCCAATTAGAATAGTTTTGCTAATGTTGGATCTTATCTCAGTGTTGATGATTGCTGAATGGTCAGGGAGGTGACTGCTGAAGGTTGGGGCCACTGTGGAAATTTCTTAAAATAGGAAGAGCACAAGAGACTATGGTGATGGCTTATGGGTAACTTGGTGGTGGTAATTTTACAGGGGCTACACCTGACAGGAGAAATCAAACATGGTAGAAAAATGAACAGTGAGGTGATATATATATATAATATATATATATATATATATATATATACACACATACATACACACACACATATATATTTATATTCAAAAAATAAGATGATAATGAAATTTTCTAGATCAATTGACTGTTCTTTTCATGAAAGATTTCTCTGTAACATGTGATGTGGCTTGAGACAAGTATAACCTCTCAAACTCTGCTACTTCCTTATCAGCAAATTTTATGTAATATTCTAATAGTACTCTGTAATACTCTGTTGTCATTTTAACAATGTTTATAGCATCTTCAGGAGTAGATTCCATCTCAAAAAAAAACCACTTTCTTTGTTCACCCCTAAGAATCAACACTTTGTCTATTAAAGCAGCAATTCAGTCACATGTTCAGGCACCACTTGTAATTCTCTTCTATTTCTACTACGGCTGTAATTATTTATACCACAGAAATCTTGAACCCAGCAAAGCCATCCATGAGGGTTGTAATCAACTTCTTCCATAGTCTTATTAATGCTGATATTTTGACCTCTTCTCATAAAGCACAAATAGTGACTCCTTTCCAGAAAGATTTCAATGGACTTTTCTCAGATCCATCAGAAAAATTACTGTCATTTATGACCTTTAAAAAATGTATTTCTTAACTATTAAGACTTGAATGTCAAAATGAATTCTTAATCCAAGAGGTTCAGAGTTGTGTTAGCAGATGTAAAAACAAATCTTGTATATCTCCATCAGAGCTCCTGGGGGATCAGGTGCATTGTCAATGAGCAGTAATATTTTGAAAGGAATTTTTTTTTCTGAGCAATAGATTTCAACAGTGGGCTTAAAATATTCAATAAATCATGTTGTAAGCAGATGTTCTGTCATCCAGGCTTTGTTGTTCCATTTACAGAGCACAGGCAGAATAGGTTTTGCACACTAAATCTAGAATTTTCTCAATGGTAAATAAACATTAGTTTCTCACCAGAAAGTCAACCTGTTCCTTGAAGCTTTAAAGTTGGGCATTAACTTCTCTCTGTCTATAAAAGTCCTAGATGGCATCTTCTTCCAATAGTTGACTGTTTCATCTACATGGAAATTCTGTTTTTGAGTGCAGCCACCTTCATCAGTGATTTAACTATGCATTTTTAATAACTTGCTGCTAACTTGCTACAACTTTTATATCAGTACTTGCTGCTTCACCCCACATTTTTGTTATGAGCACTACTTCTTTCCTTAAGCCTCATGAAGTAACTTTGCTAGCTTCAAACTTTTCTTTTGAAGCTTCCTCACCTCTCTCAGGCTTCATGGAATTGAAGAGGGTTAGATAGGACCTTGCTCTGGATTGATTTTGGTTTAAGGGAATGTTTGTGAATGATCTCTCCAGATCACTGAAACGGTCTACAAATTAGCAACAGTCTGGTATACTTTCTTATCATTTCTGTGTTCATGGGAGCAACACCTTTAATTTCCACTAAAATTTTCTCTTTTGCAATCATTTGGCTAAACTGTTTGGTGTACAAGGCCTTTGACATGGCCTTCCTCATTAATCAATTCTTACTCATTTCCAGCTTTTGACTTAAAATGAGAGATGTTACTTGTCCCTGTCCTTGAACGCTTAGAAACCATTGTAGTGTTATTAATTAGTCTGACTTCAATTTGCTCTGTTTCAGGGAATAGGGAGGCCCCAGAAGAAAGAGAGAGGTGTGAAAGTCCATCAATAGAGTGATGAGAATATACACAATATTTATTGTTTAGTTTGCCATCTTATGTGGAACCAATTCTAAGTGCCCCCAAACAATTGCATAGTAATATCAAAGATGACTGATTGGGGCCTCCCTGGTGGCTCAAGGGGTTAGGGCTCAGCCTATGAAGCTGTCTGTAGCCACTGCAGCACGAGTTAAATCCCCAGCCAGTCAGGGAGCTACCCACATGGTGCATCAGACCTCTCCTGTCTCGCCCGCTGCTCCCCTCAGCAGTGTATTTCAGTCAGTCTGCCTCTTCTGTTCCCCACTCTGTCTCTGGTGAATCCATTCACAGCCCCCCACACCTCTGACTTGTACTGCAGTTCTTGTATGCATGAATAAATAAATCTTTTTAAAAAGGATCACTGATCACAGATTAAGCAGATGTAATAATAATGAAAAAGTTTGAAATATTGTGAAAATTACCACAATGTGACACAGACACTGAGTGAGCACATGGTATTAGAAAGTGGAGCTGATTCACTTACTCAATGCACACTTGCCCTGAAGCTTCAAATTGTAAAGAACACAGTAAGGAATTTGTGAAGCAGAACAAAGCAATAAAAGAAGACATTTTTATAGTTATTTGTGCCAGAACTCTAGTTGTCATGCAAGATTTCTTCTCGAACTCTCCACACCTAACCCATAAATTCCTTCAAAACCTAGCTCTGTCTCTGGGGTTCTTAACCCCCACTGTGGAAGATAACCAGTGTTGAGGCTGCACCAGAAAATTAACTCAATGCTTCTGTGGGTGCAACTGCGGCTTCAGAATTTTTAAGAAGCTCTTCCAGTGATTGTAATTTGTACTTGGGTTTTAGAATTGCTCTTACATCTTCCCTAGCCCCTATGTCAAATGTCATTCCCCCAAGTCCAAGTCCAGTTCATCACTTTCTTGTCTTATCATTCTTTCATAATAGTTTCAGGTCTTTTCTATTCTTGTCCCATATCAATCCATTCTCTACCCAACAGCCAAACTAATTATTTATAAATGGAAATATATCTAATCAATTCCCTTTTTAACCCCTTCAATAATAATAGCAGTAATGACAATAATCATCATCATATATGTTGGTTGAATATAGATGAACTTAGAACCTAAGGATTCGGGCACTGGTGCCCC